CCTTTTTTGCCTTCTCTGCATGCACTACATGAATTCCTGAGCATTCCCTCCATTACTTTACGTTGAACCTCAGGGTGTACTTTGGGGAAGACTCTTGGTCCAGTTCTGGATGCTTGTGATAGTCACCTGACCGGACTGATTGACAAAACAAAGATCATCTCATAAGTACAAACGTTGGAAGTTGAGCCTTTTTGGTGATCGCTTTAATAAAAGCAGTCTACAAACTGGTTCTGTCTCTCATGGATCTAAATCTGTAGGGTTAACGGGAAAAAAACCGTGCGTGTTGGCAAATGAGTACTTGTGACCGTGTCATCCTCAGACCCAGGGGCGCTCTGTCTCAGACAGTTGAGACGGAAGTGAGATTGATGGGCTCTGGAAAACTGTGTTAGCCCAAAGTGACTCTGGCGAAGACAGAGATACTCATGTGAAAGGTGCAGGTGAGGAGTCTGAATGAAGTTGTATCATGAAATGTAGCTGAGAAAACGCAGCACTTCTAAACATATATTTTGAACGTGACTCGAAATGTATGTAAGTAACTTGACCTCTATCATTGGTAGGTGTTTGACTATATCGTCCATACTTCTGTAAGTTAAAAGTTTATGAATTCAAGTTGTTACTGTTGGATCTTCACTTTGGGAAGACGGGCATCTGTGGTAAATGTCCCTCTCGTTCTGGGCCTCCAGAGGGCTGTTCTGGGATGGACTGTGGCTGGTCTGTGGGCCACTCTCCCCCGCCCAAATGTCAGAGGAGCCGCCTGGGTCACCGAGTCTGGTGCTTCTTTCAGATTTCGGAGGCAACATCAACGTGGAGACCATCAGTACCTTTATTGACGGTGGAGGCAGTGTCCTAGTAGCTGCCAGCTCAGACATTGGTAAGTCTGACCTGTGAAGGTCTGGTGCTTTCCAGCGTTTCTCCAGGAAGCTTGGCAAGCTTTACAAATGGAAGTGCCAGATTGGTGTTCACTGGGTGGGCCTGGTCAGGGAGTGAGGGAAGTACAGAGCCATTCACCTCCTCCTGTCAGCAGGACCAGGGAGATGTGGGGCCTTTTATGGGCTGGGAACCCTGTTTTTTCCCAGTTTGGTTTTTTCCCTTTGTTTTTGTTTGTGTTGGTGGGCCTTCCCTGACAGAAAGAAAAGATGGGGCTGGCTATTTGGGCAGAACCCAGAGTAATTTGACAGATTGTTTTGTTTTTTTGTTGTTGTTCCCTATTTTGGAAATTTTCAAACATACGTGGAAGTAGGGAGAGAGCAGTATTCTGGAGCCTGCACGCGTATCCCGCAGCTTTGGTTGGTGTCAGCACCCGGCCAGTCTCATTTTGTTTTTCCCAGTGTTGACAGACTGGGGTGATGAGGAGGAGAAGTCCCGTGAAGCCAGGCTCATTCAGGTCAAGTCTGCCTGAGGTTATGACTTTGCCTCAATGGGGGGTTTTGTGTATTTGTGGGCAGAGGACCAGGTGGTTCTCCGTGTTACTGATTCAGGTTCTGACCCCTGGAGGCAGAAAACCGTGCTGTTGTCCAGCTGTCCAGTTGGGGCTGAGCACGGCCTGGGGAAGTGGCAGGGCCTAAGGGTGACTGGGAGAGGGTGAGTCACCAGGAGGCCAGGGAAGCGACACTGCTTGGCCCAGGGCCCACCTGTAAGGGTTAAACCAGGCATTTCTTGGGTCTTTGCAGGTGACCCTCTTCGAGAGCTGGGCAGTGAGTGTGGGATCGAGTTCGACGAGGAGAAAACAGCCATCATTGACCATCACAACTACGACATCTCAGACCTTGGCCAGGTAACCGGCCCGTTACCTTCCAGGTTTGGGGCCCTTCCACCAGGGCTCAGCCTGGAAACCGAGAAGGAGTAGGAAGGGAGTCCCTGGCGTGGAGGCGCCTTTTCCTGACCCCCATCTCCCTCTGTTGCCGCAGCACACGCTCATTGTGGCCGACCCCGAGAACCTGCTGAAGGCCCCAACCATTGTTGGGAGATCATCTCTGAACCCCATCCTCTTTCGAGGTGTTGGGTGAGTGAGCAGGCCCAGGGCGCTAGAAACCTGGGGAGGATGGGAAACTAACCCACCCTTGATGGTTTAGGGGGTTCTATCCCTGGAGGAGAGGGGAGAGATTAATTTAGGACACTCAGAGTCAGACTTCGTTGTTGCAGCAAGAGGAAAGCTAGTGGCAGAGCAGGCGTGCGACTGCTGAGAAAGCAGGACTCGTCCCTGTGGAGAAGTGACCCTTCGGGACCCAGGTCCTTGAGCTCAGTTCTCAGGGTCCCTGTGGGGTGCTCTCCTTTCCTTCTGTAGGATGGTGGCCGATCCTGACAATCCTTTGGTGTTGGACATCCTGACGGGCTCCTCCACGTCTTACTCCTTCTTCCCGGATAAACCTATCACCCAGGTGAGGGGCCGTTGCAGCCTTGAGGCCTGCGGGCCCCGGGCCCAGCGGCGAGGCCCTTTATGTGAAGACGAGCAGGAGTAAGAGGAGAGCACACGGGGCGGAGGCTGGTGAAGGAGAGGTTGCTGGGAGCAGGAAGGGGCAGAGGCGCCGGGGCCTCTGGTGCCACCCTCAGGTTGACGTCCGGCCTGCTGTCCTCTTGCCCCAGAGGCCCAGCTGCCTGTCCTTTCCCCGGGCTCTCCTGGATGACAGCCCTCTGTTGTTCCCAGTACCCCCACGCGGTGGGGAAGAACACCCTGCTCATTGCTGGGCTCCAGGCCAGGAACAACGCCCGGGTCGTCTTCAGCGGCTCCCTGGACTTCTTCAGCGATGCCTTCTTCAACTCGGCGGTGCAGAAGGCTGCGCCCGGCTCCCAGAGGTGGGTGCTGGTGGGCTCGGGGGCGTGTGGTCTGGTGCTGGGGAGGAAGGAGCCTTCCAGCTGGAAGCGTCGGAGGCCAGGTGTCTTTGGGTTGAAGACTTCGTTGCTGTGTTGGTACCGTAGACTTTTGAGGGTGGCAGCGGCTTACCCGGAGATGTTTCAGCGAGTGTGTTTGTTGTGAAGGTGACCCCACAGCAACACCACCTGACCTCTTTTCCCCGTTCCTTGAAGCAGGATACCTAGATACGTATGGTCTCCAGGCAGAAGCTAGTTTCAGGCAGTTTGTCTCCATGGATCGTGACTGTCAGGCATCGCTGCAAAGAAGTCCGTTCTGGGCCCCTAGCCTCCTGTTTGCCCCTTCTGCAGGTATTCCCAGACGGGCAACTACGAGCTAGCTGTGGCCCTCTCCCGCTGGGTGTTCAAGGAGGAGGGTGTCCTCCGTGTGGGGCCCGTGTCCCACCATCGGGTGGGTGAGACCGCCCCACCCAACGCCTACACCGTCACCGACCTAGTGGTAAGAGCATCTTGGAGCAGGAGGGACCCCTGTGGTTTGGGCCAGGTTGCTTTAGCTCAGAAGCATTTATTGAATATTTAGTGGCCTAAATAAGGACAAATAAATTAATCTTTACTCCTAAGAAAGTGTAGGTGCAGAGGGCCCGGTGCACAAGCCAGTGTCTAAAAAGGCGTGAAGAGGTATGGGTTTGTCGTGGAGGTGTAGAAGCGGGAGGGCTCTGCTGCTCCGTTCTGCTGGTTGGGGGGAGGGGTGGAGACTGCAGCGAAGGTAGCGGCAGGGCTCCCTGACGGTGCCTGGCCCGTCCGCAAGTGGGGCAGTCTGGGTGCAGACGTTGGTGGTCCAGGGCTGAGGTGGAGAGGGGCGTTAGCGGGCTGGGGAGCAGGGGCTCGCCCTGGGGGTTCCTGCCGGGTCCACGAGGGACTCGGTGCTGCTCCAAGGGTGGTGACTCCCCCGGCCGACCAGCCTGTCGTCTCAGGAGTACAGCATCGTGATTGAGCAGCTCTCAAATGGCAGATGGGTCCCCTTTGATGGTGATGACATCCAGCTAGAGTTTGTCCGCATCGATCCTTTCGTGAGGACCTTCTTGAAGAAGAAAGGCAAGTAGTGCTCTCATGGGGGACAGCGGCAGGACGACAGTCCTGTGGTGCTCGCTCTTGTGAGGCTGACGGAGACACCCCTCTGGTGGTCTCGGCTCCCCCCACAGGTGGCAAATACAGCGTCCAGTTCAAGTTGCCCGATGTGTATGGAGTGTTCCAGTTTAAAGTGGATTACAACCGGCTAGGCTACACGCACTTGCACTCTTCCACTCAGGTGAGCCAAAGTCACGGTCCCCTTTTCGGCCGGAGTGGGCCTCGCCTGGGCTGCTGAGTGGCCGGGGCCTGTCCCCTCTGTCGTGTTGCAGGTGTCGGTGAGGCCGCTCCAACACACGCAGTATGAGCGCTTCATCCCCTCGGCCTACCCGTACTACGCCAGCGCCTTCTCCATGATGCTGGGGCTCTTTATCTTCAGCACGGTCTTCTTGCACATGAAGGAGAAGGAGAAGTCTGACTGAGGCGGCCGAGCCCTGGAACTCCTTAAAACATGCAGATGGGGGTTACATAGGGTTGGGTTGTCTTTATGGTGGTGTGTGTGTTTCACTTGTTTGTTTGTTTGTTTTTTTAAGCTGTGGGACAGTGGCAGAGTCTCACCTCAGTGGGAGACGCGGCACTGAGTACCAAGGGGGTGGGGGTTGGGGGATGATTTTTATGTTGAGTTTTTCCACCTAATGCTAAGTGGTATCTTCCATGTGTGGTCACTCTCATTTCTAAGATAAAAAGAAACCTTGCCCTCCAACTTGATGTGGCTCCCGTGTGCTTTGCTGTGGTGGGGATGCTGTTCAGCCATGAGACACAAAATAGTAAGTGGCCTCTAAGTGTCGCCAACCGTATTTTCCTTAAGTGTGAAATCACAACACTTCCTCACTTCTCGGGGGAGAAGAGAAGGTTAATAACACACTGAGGCCGGTGGGGAAATTGGGGTAACAGTGCTTGACTTAATAGAATTACAGAATTGCTTCTTTGAAAGGAACTACAATATACGTTCACCTTGCTTTAGGCAGTAGCTGTAGTCCTAAAAAGCAGGTGTAAAATCACATGAAATCCTTTCCTCATTGTTCTCTTTATTATGGTGTAAAGATCACTCTTAAAGCCACGTATTCAATTCAAAGCAAATAACGTCTTCTGCAGTTGAAAATGTGCATTTAATTCTTCACGATTTCTATAAGAAATACTGGTCAAAAGGCAGATTAGCAATAAAACACTACACGGTTAACTTCCATTTCTTCATTACTTCTAGCTCCACTAGACTCGATTTAGTAGCTGGAGGAGCTGAGTGGAAATGCTTCCGCAGACACACCCCAGAGCTTTCCAGAATGCTTGACTGAAGTGCAGAGGCTTCCTACTTCTCAGGCCTCACTGGATGTTTTCATTCTGACACCCGAATATACCGACCCGGGCAGATGTCTGCCTTAGCTCAGGAAGCACACAGGCTGATTCACGGCTGCCACTTTCAAACAAGCCGCAGTCCCTTCCTGGAGTCATGCTCTGCTACCAACAGGCAGGGCCTTGCTGGGACCTCTGGAAGGTGAGGGGGGAGGCACACGTCTGGGCCTCACTCAGCCTCACCTCCAGACCTAACAGACCAGCTCAGCCACCGGCTTCACAGAGGTCCATGAGGGCTTTTGGTCAGCAGGTAACACCTCACTCCTCATTTGCTGCAGAGAATGCATGCCTCTGGCTGTGTGCTCCGGTCTTCTCACCTTCTATTAGCATTTACACACAAGGGGCCTTGTGATTAATCAGGGTGTCTTTTTAGAATTAGGCCTTTTGAATTCATCTAGACCAGGGGTTGGCAAACTCTGACTTGTGGGCCAGTCTGGCCTGCTGCCTGTTTTTCGGGTTTTCAAATAGTTGGAAAAAATTAAAATATTAGTTACCTGCGAAATTCAAATTTCGGTGTATTTACATATTTAAGACTGCTTCTGCGCTACGAGACAGTCTGTTTGCCAGCCCCTCGACGCTGCCCGTGAGAACGTCAGACCACACAGGTTACGTGAGGCACCTAGGATGGCACGGCTAGGGTGAGTTAGTAGCTACGGACTGAACTTGGACGTGAGCTAGCTGTTCCTTCCATTTGCCAAACCCGAGGCCTTCTCCGGGGCTGACCAGCCCTCCCTACGCCATCTTGTTCTGCTCCCGCCCTCACTCCTGGGAGCTCTGCCCATTCACAGACCATCACCACACGGATGCTGCTAAGTTCTTTTAGTAATTCAGCTACAGCAGGGCCCTTATGGGGCTGCTCTCCAGGAGCAGAGGAGCAGGGCTGCCTGGCACAGCGTTTCATACTCCAGGTTGGCCAGAAATAACATCTTCATCTTTGTCTCCACGCAGCTCTTCTCCGTGAGCCTGTTGGCCAGTAAAGTGGCAGCGGACTGTTGGAGGAGCCAGCCGACCATCTTGTCTAGTTTCAGATTCTTCAGGGCCAGCGTGTGTTCCCCCCAGAGGCTTAAGTGAAGCACATTAGCAGCCACTCGGGCAGACGGTCTCTGCAACAGGCAGGGAAGCGGAAGCTTAGAACATGTGGCTGGCAAAGCATGTGGCCCCAAACCCGATCCGTTAATGAATCCTCATTTCAGGGTCTTCCCTTCTCCGGCCCCAAATTCTTGTCCACCCCTATGTCTCTCCTTCCTACAACACCCTTCGCTCTCCTGACACACGCTGGCTGCTCGCCCTCCATGCTGCAGGCTTTTCCAGGTGCACAAAGGTGCCGCAGGCCACATGTGTCGTGGAAATAGTCTCCCCGTCAAGGAAGGGCCACGAGCCACCTTAGACCTCTCCTCACTTAGTAACTGGTGGCACTGAGCACATGCTGTGCGGTGGCAGGGAGGCGGGAGGACAGGGGTTTGGACCGTGTCTGCCTTTGTGCTCTTCCCTAGGCATGCCGCCTGGCCTGGGCCTGGGCAGGTCCAGATCTGCTCTTGGGCGAGGCCTCACCTCTGTTTCATTAGATGTCGGCTGTTCCTAGAAGCTACAACTCTGTTAAACACTTCTTAAAAATGCATCTTCTTCCCTCTAAGTAACTGAAGCCACTGAAGCCAAGACAAGTTGCGTTGCTGGAACTGTAAGCTGGTGGCTACCTCCCCTACTCCTATTTATACTAAAGTTTGTTCTCCTGTACAAACTTGGTTAGGACAGAGGAGCTATCGGTGACTCTAGTCTTGCCCAAACCTGGTCTTTACTCTGGAACATGAACTTTCACACAACTCCTGCAAGACCTGGGGACAGCCTCACCTTGCTGGCCTCTCGCTGGAGCAGTGACCTCACCAACTGTCTTGCTTCTAGAGGCACCGACTTGGGCAGTGCGGGCAGCTGAGCCTCCTGGTAACTGCGGCTTTCAAGGTGGGCCCTGCCCTGGCCGTAAAAGGGATTAGAGAGCCCGAAGATTTCGTAGGCGAGTGCACCCACTGCCCAGGCATCGGCTTTGCCGTAGTCAATCACTGCTCTGGGGCCCGGGCAGGCTGTGGACACCTGTTAGGAAGCAATGAGTGAGCTTCACGCTGCTGGCACCTAGAACGCATTCACGTTCCGGCACAGCATCTGACTCCTGGGCTGATCGGAACTCTCCCAAGAACCCAGAATTTGAGCTGTGGCTAGGACCCACGAGAATCTACTCAGGTTGCAGGGGACTTGTGCCAAATTAAGGGTCAGAAAAGATGGAGGTGTTGAGTAAATAATGAGGACAAGGACTTTCACACTTGTCCTCTCAGTGGAAGCACGGTGGAGAAGTATGTTTGCTGATGGCACAAGACCTGCTTAGCGGGACTCACCTCAGGAGCCATCAGGCAGCCGTTTCCACCCCGGTCCACATACCAGCTGGTGAAAGGCAGCTGCAGGCCAATGCGCTCATCAGCCAGGCAGCAACCAAAATCTGTGATCACCAACCAGGGGCAGCCATCTGGGGAAGGGACAGGTAGAGGTAAGTGACTGGCCCCTCCGAGAGGCCTTCCTATGATCCCCACCATGGCCACCGTCAAGACATGGGTGAGAGAGGTTTACAAGGACTCCATGTTGGTCCAGGAGCGCAGGATGGCTACCCTGTCCCCAGAGAGCTCAACGGGAGGGCCAGCTAAGTGGGCACGGAAATGCCTCCAGGAAATCAAAGCCCCCAAACAAAGAACTGGATAAAAGCTTGGCTCAATCTAAGCAAGTAATCGGAGCTAGCCCAGGACTGAAGGAGCTGCTCATGGTTTACTCAGCAGATGGTGCTGGGCTCAGATGATCTCTAAGAGCTCTTACCACCCCAAGAATCTGATCTGAACTTGAAACCCCAAATCCAAACCCAAGAAACTGGTCCATTAGGATTTAGTTGTCTGTAAAAGTATTCACACAGACTTTCTTTAAAAACCTAGTTCCTCTAGCAATTTACTTGCCTCTTATTTTCAATCTAGTTCAAAACTTAGCAGACATACAAATCTCCTTTAAAACAGCCCAGGTAAGGGGCCATCTAGCCTCTACTTCAGTGCCTCCAGCGTGGGGAACTCGGGATCCCCAGGGGCACTGGGCTTATCTTTGGACAGCTCTCACTGTCTCAAAATGCTTTTTTCTACTGAGCTACAGTCTACCTCTCTTTTACTTTAAGAGAACTTCTGCCACCGAGTCTTGTGTTCTGTAAGTGGGCCACAGAAAGGAATCATTCCACAAGCCCTACAAAGAGAACAAAGGCCTCCATTTTGAGGAGAGATTGCTCCCCTCTTGTGCATGGAGTGAAATTAAGACAACATGTAACAGAACATACAAAGTCAAAAAGGACCTGAAGGGTCCTTAAATGTTTGCAGACATGAGTCTGGTGCACCCCGGATGGCTGTGAGGTAGGGCAGGGACCCACCTGCGTCCAGCTCCACGAGAATGTTGTCAGATTTCAAGTCTCTGTGCGCAACGCCCTGTTGAACCAGATGATCCACCCCCTCCAGGAGCTGCAGGATCATCACGGTGGCGAGGCGGGGGCTCGGGGTGTTCATACGAAGGTACTGGCGCAGGGTGCAGGGGTAGCTGGTGGAGAGGGTGACAGGGCCTCTGGCTATCACACATCATTGGTCCCCAGCATCTTACTTACGATTAGGATGACGATCCTTCCTCATTGTGGAGTTTCTTAATCTTTTCTCCCTCAAGTATCCTTTCTGTTCCCACCCATTACCCTGAGTTAGGAAGTGAGAGCTTGGGCCCCACGTGATGAAAGTAATGGAGCAGACACTCTTTCCTTAAAATGCCCATTACAGCAATGCCAGTAGGTACAGAGAGCAAGGAGAGAGAACTTTCTGTGTTAAACAAGACACACACAACTGGTAAGGCAAGCCGTAGAGAAGGAGCAAGAATCAAATGTACTAAAAACACTAGGTGAAAACTATGTTCTAAGTGAAGACGAAGTTCTATTTTCATGAAAAATCATCCTAAAGGGACGCTGCTCTCTAGGGCAGTCTGCCCTCACCGTGGCCTTGCCCTACAGAAGGACGAGGTGCCTCCTCCCTGCCACCCCGGGGGCTGCAGGTGCACAGGGCCAGGGGCCGCCTCCTACTTACTTCTTCATAACGAGGAAGAGCGTCCGCCCGTGGCCCAGGCCTTCAGGGTGAAGACGTGGCGGCAGCACATCAGGGTAGTCGACCAGGGCCCCTGGCAGCAGTGGTACAGAAGAGGTGAAGGCACGGAAGACCCGGATGATGTTGGGGTGAGGGGCCAGTTGCTTGGGACTTCCCTTGGACTTTCTAGTTCAGCCAAATGACACCAACGGAAAGATAATTATACCACGATAAATACTGACATTTAATCACCCATTTTAATCAAACAGTACAGATCTGCTTTGTGTCAGGTGCAGAGCCTGGTGTTAGAGTGAAAAAACAAACCCATAAAGATGACTAATCACATTTGAGGACTCCGCTGGCCCATCCATCTGTCCATCCATCCATCCCATGCTGCAGAATACAGTGGTCAAGAGACTCTGGAATCTGACTCTGGTTTGAGTTCCAGGTCGGCCACTGTAAGCCCTTGGTCAGGTTACTTCTCTGCGCTCAGTCTCAACTGCCAAAGGGAATAGGGTAGTAACACACCTTGTAAGGTTGTTAATACTTACAAAGGACCCAGAATCTCTATGATCGCAAGGTGTTTTTTTTTTTTTTTTTTTTCCCAATGTTTATTTCAGAGAGAGAAGGAGACACAGAATCCAAAGCAGGCTCAAGACTCTGAGCTGTCAGCACACAACCCGATGCAGGCCTCCAACTCGTGAACTGCGAGATCATGACCTGAGCCAAAGTCAGATGCTCAACTGACTGAGCCACCCAGACGCCCCTATGATTGCCAAGTTCTAACCCTTAACGTGGAGTATGAGCTCAATAAACCTTGGTTGAATAAATGAATCGGCACAGATGCAGGTTGTAGTACAGCCATCACTTGCCTGCCCAGACCTCCTCCTCAGGGATCCCCACACCCACAGGCCTGCTGGCGCACAGTGGCCATGTTCTGGATGGTGTGAGTCGGCCTGCTATATATCAGCCCCACCCCTCAGGCACTACTGACTGGGTGGGCACCTGACCTAAGGGCAAGGAGCCTGCAGTCACATCGGAGACCCAAACGGTTGGTGGGAAAAGGGAAGGGGGCTGGTTAGATTCTCTCTTGGAGGAACATTAATGAAAAAACATGGCAGTAATCTAGCAGTCAGCAATGGAACTGACGGTGGAAGGTGCCGGCCAAAAGTCACCCATGTGATCAAAGGCACACAGGAACAGAAGAGCTATGGGGGAAGAAAGAAGGACACAGGGTGAGAGAGTTCAGAGTGGAGGAGAAACCCAAAAACACGAAGACAACACTGAGGGAGCAAGATGGCCACCCCCATCCGAAGATCCGCCTCAGTTCCCGAGCTTTGTAGAGCCAGTCCACAGGTGGCCTCCTACTGCTCTCACTCTCCAGTCCATCTGAGTGCACCCCTGCGTGCAATCAAGGGAGTTAAAGTGTTCCTAGCCTTGGGGCACCGGAGCTAGTAATAGAATCAGGAGGATCACAGTTCAGGGTCGTCTGTGCCACAGTGGGAAAGTTCAGCTCGGTTGCCATGGGAGCCTGAGGATGAGCGTGTCCGTGTAAGGTATGTGTGTGTGGAGACCTGGAGTGGGACAGGAGGCTGTGGGGAGGGCAGCCCAAGTACAGCTAACTGCAACGTAGGAAGACAGGTAAGGAGGAGTGCGGTGCATTTGGAGGAGGGCCTTATGGATTCACTATGGTGGAGCACAGAGTGTAAGCGTCGGGGAGAGAAGTGGCAGGAGCAGATCACAAAGGTCTGAGCCTGAGGTCCCTAGATGAGCAGAGGCTAGGTAGAAACAGAAGTGCTCTCAGGGACTGAGACCGTTTCTCCTGAGTCACTGATGCCATATTCATGGAATCATCCAATGGACATTTACTGAGCTGCAAGGGTACACAGCAAACAAAACAGAAAAGCCCTGCCCTCAAGAGCTTCTAGGACAGCGGGAGAGAGAATAGACAGACATCTGTGATTTAAGGTCAAATGGGGATAAATGCCGTGAAGACAAATTAAAGCAGGGTAAGGGACTGGTGAGAGACAAGGACCACTTCAGATGGGAGGTCTGGGCGGCCCCTCCACCACAGAGGCATTGGTGCTCACATGAGCTACCCGACAGCATGTCAGCAGGCTGAGGTGCACACAGAAAGCTGCCTGAAGACAGCTGTACCCCTCAGAAAGCAGCAGACATGCAGACACCCACTTTTCCCTACGAAGGACTAAGGAGAGGAGGACGATACTAAGAACCCCCAGTCACAGGGAGCCTTCCAAACCATAGAAGGGGCTTTCCATGTGTCTTCTCAAGTCCCTGTGTCTACCTTCCTGTTTCTGACGGCACTGGGTCTAGAAACTAACCCTCCAGTAAGTTGCCAAATGCAGCCCCTGCTGGCGGTCCACAATCGTGAAGTGACCACACGTGTCTCTGTCACCCGCTCAGCGTCGATCCTCACCACCGCACACCTGGTGCTTACAAAGCACGAGGAGCATGAGCTGCCGTCCACCCCTTCTTCTCTCTGTGGAGAAGGCCTCTCTGCCTTCCCTCCTGCCCAGGTGGTGCCTCCTCATCCTTCCAAAGGCAGCACTGATGGTCGCTTCAAGAGGCCCATCCGTTTGCGCTCCCCCAGCGCCTGAGCACACACGGCCGTAGGTAGCGCTTACCTCCCCGGCCTCTGCTCCCACCTTGTCCGGCTCCTCTGTCACACACAGAACTCTTGGGGACCAAGCCCCCCACCTTTTAATCTCTTGGCATTGCCGCTGTTAGTGGAATGAGTGCTACCTCTGCTGGGGATGGAGTTCAGCGACAGGGAGGCGGCATTCCACCTGAGCATTGCTTAAGAGCAATCAGATCAACTTTCCAACATTCTGAATTGGGCGTTTTTGGATGGCCTTCTCTGGGAGATCTTCAGTTGGGGTCAGATGATCTGCAATCCTCTCCAAGTGAAATTATCCAGCAACTACAAATCCATCATTCGCCGCATCATTCAGTGAGCATTTATGATCGACATGACGCCACACGGAGGACACAGGGGAGGATTCTGCTCTCGCGGAACTCACAACCAGTCCGGTGGGCAGAGGGGTGCGTACCTGTAAGTGACTGCTCCGTACTCCCCGGCCAAGGCCACTCGACTAGCTGGGACTAGCTCCTGGCTCATTGTGTTCAAGATGGCTTCACTGGAAGAGCCTGCCTGGAACACAATCATGAATTCAGGGTTACGTGCCTAGAGCAAGTTCGAGTCTTCCTTGTAATCTGGACCAGACAGCTACTGCCTAGAATTTTTAAAAAAAAATCTTAAAGTAATCTCTATACCCAACGTGGGGCTTGAACACACAACTCCAAGATCAAGAGTCACATGCTCCACAACTGAGCCAGCCAGGTGCCTCTAGAATTGGTTTTGACATTCAAGATAGGGGCAAGCCAAGCCTAGTCTCTCCTGAGAGGGAAGAGATACTGTCCCCCACCACCTCCCAGGGGGCTGCCACACCCCACCTCAATCTCCGGGCAGCTCAGGTGCCCAGGGCAGGAAGGGATGGCAAGATGGTCACGGTCAGGGATCTTTCTCACTGCCATCAATGCCTCCGGTCCCCACCAGGCTCAAAACTGGCCACTGGAACACAAAGACTCCCCCTGGCAGGCTGCCTTCAGCAGACAGGCAGAGATGGACAAACTCGCCCTGGATAAAGTGGTGCTGAATCACAGGACAGCCCTCCCCAACCCTCCAGTAGAAAGAGCCAAACTCGAGGAAAAACACCCTATTTCCTCGTTTCATTATGAATGGCACTCACGCCCTGTGGAACCTGTTAGGAACCCTACAGGAATTAAGTCTTTTAGCTTTTGTGAGCACAGTAGGTGCCATGCCCATCAGTGGAGGTTTGATGCCAACACTGGATGTTTCCCAGGCCAAGCACTTGGCTACTTGTTAGCTATTAGCCAGCTGGGAAGGGCAATAGTCTAATAACCTTCATCCCCCAGATCAAAACAAGAAACTGCGTTCGTGGGGCACCCGGCTGGCTCAGTCAGTGGAGCGTGCAACTCTGGATCTCGGGGTTGTTGAGTTCAAGCCCCACGTTGGATGTGAAGATTACTTGAAAATAAAATCTTTAAAAAAGAAAGAAAGAAACTGCATTCTTTAATGTCCAGCATGAGCTGTGTCCCATTCTCAGGCTTGGACGGATGCTCTGGGAAGGAGAAAGAACATTAGGTCTTAATTAATTTTCTAAACCCATCTATATAGTGAAAAGGGAAAGAAATTAGACAGAAATCTGTTTTTGTGGAGGGAAAAAACTCAATTTCCCAAAGCTTTGCGTCCTTCCAGAGTTGAGGCCAGGGAGGTGACAAGCAAGCCTGTGATCTGGAGGTGAGGCTAAAGGGGGAGGCTAAAGGGAGGCGTGTGGCCTCTCCTCTCGAGTGAGGCAGGTCAGGGGAAAGAGGGAGGGTAGCGGTAAACTGCGCACCTGAATCCAGCTAATGGACCAGCACTGACAAATGAGAACCCAGGTGCTCAGGCCCTTGCCGCCCGTGTGTGGTGCACAGACCAGAAGCACGGGCATCACCAGGGACCTTGTGAGAAAGGCAGCATCTCAGCCCCGACCCCAGACCAGCTGACCAGAATCTGCCTTTTAACCCGATCCCCAGGCGATTCGCCGACTGTCACAATTTGAGGCGCCTGTACTGTGGAGACTCCGCCCATCTACTTCCCGGTAAAGGGCACTATCGGGTCCACCAAGACTGGCGTTTTGAGAAACGCCCAACCCAAAGGCGAAAGGCCCCCTCCTCACCGAGATGTTCCACATCATCTTGATGGCTAAGGGAAAGCCAGCGGCCCGGGAAGCCGGCTCCTCTTCCTGGGGAGCGGTATCTGGGCCTCTGCCAGGAAGCCCGATGCTCCTTGCCACCTCCAGGCTCTGGGGCAGCACAGGCACGGTGGCTTCGTACACAGCTGCGCTGCAACCCTTGCCAATGGGCTGTCCTATCACATACTCCTCCAGCCGGAAGCCCTGCCAGCATCGGGTGTCCAGTGGGTCCGGGAGCAGCTTGTTTTTCTGGGTGAAAATTGCCTGTGAGGAACAAAACAGGCGCGATGAGCCAAGGTGCCTAATAAAGCTCAAGTAAAGGGAAGTCGGGGGAGTGGGGGAGAGGCAGAGCCAGGCAAGGTCTTCACCGACAGGATCAAGAGCTAATAAAAGCACAACCAAACTGGGTTTTACTGCTCATCCTGGGCTCAGGCCACCTACCTTTCTCTCCCGTTATTCGGAAGAACGTTTTCTCAAACTCTGTACCTTCGCTGGAAACAGAGACGGCCCAACACAGAACACTTGTTAGTTAAGAGGCCAAAACTTCTAAATTCTGCAGCTGGCACACCTTGCCTGTTGAGCTCCCGGCACAATCTCAGAGGCTTCTGATCTCAGAGACCACTCTCTGTCGTGCAAGGACCCTGGCAGGCAGCTGCCACTGGGTGGTTCTCGGGAGCTGTGGACGGGCAGCTCTCCTTCGGTCTTCAGAAGAATCCGAGGGTGGTGTTTGGGCAAGTCTGTGTCTGCTACTAATGCCGTCGCAAAGGGTTTTGGAGGCTTTGTATGGGCTGCCAGCCCGGCGGCCAGATCTGCCCGATTGTTCCCCCTGGGCAATCAAACAGTCTGATTTCTGGTGTCCTGGGCCATGGGCACTGGCTGCCTCCTTGGGTTCCAACACGGCTCTAATAATCCTAAACTGCCTGAAGTCTACCTCAAGTGTGCAGTTTGCAGGGCTTCAGGAGAAAGGGCAGTGTTAGGGAATGGGAATAGGAGAAAATTGGAAACCTTAGTTTGGAGAATCATAACCAGACACTGGAGGAAATCAGAATTCACAATCCAGCCCAGTTTAAGAGGCAAACAACAAACATCCAAACACAGTTAATCTAACGTCCACAAAGGTCTGATTTTTTTTCCTAAAATCACCCCCACTTCCACCAAAGATAACCAAATTAAGACTCCAGCTTTAACAACGTTGGCCTAATTATTTCCATGAGCGCTGCAAGAATGACTAGCCATATAGAGTTTGCCTTTTTTTTTTTTTTTAAATCTGCTTTGCTGGAACTTCTCAAAGAATTTCAGACTGAACTTTTAATAGCCTCTCAGGGCTAAGAAGCCAAGCCAAGTACTTGCCATCAGACTCTGTCTGCAATACCTATAGATTCGGGTAAGTTCCTCTCTTCTTGAGGTCCCTAAAATATCCTGAGGTTCCTGCACCTGCCAGAAAATGACCTCCTGGGAACTCTGTAAGTAAGTACAAAGCTGATTTTTCCAAGGCACTTCATTGGCTCCAAAACGTCAGCTTTAGTTCCTTAAAGCTGTCTGCTCATATCTGAGTCAATGCACGTCTCCCTCAAATATGATAGTCCAGTCAAAGCCCTGATAATATAACCAATGTTTCCAAATGTGTCCTGTCCTAAGAACAGATTCTTACTGAACGTATACAAATACATACATTGCCATGAAAATATAAGAATACTCACTGAGAGTTTCCGAATCTGGAGGGATCAGGTGGGGAGAAAAAGATAAATGTATCATGTTTGTTTACAAAGGGATTATTCTACCAAATTTCTGCAAGTCATAATAGCTTAAGAGAAAAACACTTTCCTTAAATCTGGAAGAGCAAACATTAGAGAACCAGCAGCGTTTCAACAAGAGTAATTATCTTCCTCAATTCATTCAGTCCCATGTTACTAATTCTTGCTCTGTTTGAATGGATTTCCTGTTAGTTCCAGAAGTTCTTACTCAGTTTGGCTTTATCATCTTACTGGTATGAGAGACCCGTATTTGTCAAAAGTCCTTCCCATGAATCTCCTTAAGCTGAAACCCATCTGTAATAGCATCAGAGTAAAACAATAACTATAAATGACAGAAAACTAAAAAAATGGCCATGGTTTTTCTGTGACACACAACACTTTAATAATTGGAATTACAAATGATGACATTACCCCAGGACATATCAAAACCTTAGGAATTTTATACAGTTTCTGGAAGAGTTATAGCATCCACTCATACAATCTAAGGTTTATCCTCATTTATTTGACAGTGCTTCCCATGTAATTTGACATACCAAATAAACAAGCCTAATTAGTAAAAAAAAAAAAAAAAAAAAAAGATTTCATTTAGAAGTTGAATCTTGGGAAGTTGGTCAGAAATATCAGAAGGCTTTACTTACTATTATTTTTTTAAGTTTATTTATTTGATAGAGCGTGAGCACGAGCGGGGGAAGGACAGAGAGAGGGGGGGACAGAGAATCCCAAACAGGCTCTCAATGTGGGGCTTGAACTCTCCAACTGTGAGATCATGACTGAGCTAAAATCCAGAGTCAGACATGTAACTGTAACCACCTGAGCCACCCAGGCACCCCAGTATTTATGTTTGAGAGAGAGGGAGAGAGTGCATGAACTCTTGAGTGGGGGAGGGGCAGAGAGAGAGGGGGACCTGAGACTCTGAAGCAGGTGCTGATCTGTCAGTGCAAAGCCTGACGTGGGGCTCAAACCATGAGATCATGACCTGAGCCCACGTTGGATGCTCAACCGAGCCACCCAGACGCCCCAGAAAACTGTCGTTTGTAACAGGAAAACCAAATTCTAATCTTATATTGATGTACTTCTGATAGCAAAACTCATTCATTCCAACAAGGCGAATTTTTGAAAAATGGTATGTAGTCCCTCCTTTGTCCCTCCCTGTCACTGCCCATGTTGACATACACTTACTGAGACGGGGCCATCCAGGGTGCTGCATGGAGCTGAGTCCTTGTGCTGGGATGTGCTGACCAGAACCCCCATCAGGAATGGAGGACCCTCAGCTGGTGGGCATGCTGCTAATGGTTCTTAGCTCTCAGGGCTCACGAGCGAGGGCGTCGACTGAAGACACCTGCCTTGTCCAGGCCATGCCCTCTTCCCAGGCGGTCTCATCTAATGGCCATTCAGTACAAGTGTATGAAAGTCCAGCCCTCTGCCCCAGTTTAGGCTGGTTCTAAAGAGGAACCCAACTTTTGGAAACTCCTCAGAGAGTCAGCTGAGGCTTCTGTTGAGGTTGTGTCACTGCTCAACCTCTGCCTGATCCTGTTCTCTCAACCAGCCTTCTCTTCCCCAGGTGTCGACCACTCCCTAAAAAACTTCTTTATGCACTCATCTCCGTAATCTTAGTCCCGACCGTGCACAAAATTCCTTTCCAAAGATTTCCTTCTCACAAATCTTCTACAACTTCTTAAAATCAGGTTTTGTCCTAAGTTTTCCTTCTTTAAATAACCAGTCTCAATTCCCTTGTATACAGAGTTGTTTCCCTTAATAGAAGCCAAAAAGAAACCCATGTTAGTTCTCAGTGATTATGTTTAGATTACCAAAACACTTTATAACGTGAACCTATTGACTTGCAGTAAACACAGGCAGAACAAACAACAGTTGTACCTCCTACGTCTACTACTGGAAACTTTAAAAACACGTCCATTTTAATTAAACCAACAACCCTGAATTAGCTTTAATACTGAATATTTTCCCAACTCACATGAACTTAAAAGTGTTTTTCTCAGTTTTGGAATGCCTAATTCTTACAAGCACTTGCCTTTAAACCAACTACATTGACCTCTTTGTCAAATTAATTTTAGTAGCACCATCCACAGGTAGAGAAAAAAATCTCACATTTACAACACACATGGACACACATACAGATACACAAGCAGGATGCAAACAAAATCTGGGCCGCCTGGGTGGCTCAGTCAGTTGAGTGTCCGACTCTTGATTTTGGCTCAGGTCATGATCTCACGGTTGAGCTCTGAGCTGAGCATGGAGCCTGCTTGGGATATTTTGTCTGTCTGTCTGTCTGTCTGTCTGTCTGTCTCTTTCTCTCTCTCTCCTCCCACCCCCTTAAAATAAATAAGTAAACATTAAAAAAAAGATGCAAACAAAATCTTAAAGGCCCAGTTTCCAAATATATCATAATTTATGGATCCACTGATCGGTCATTTTTCTCCAGTCTAATGAATACTGTGGGAAAGCAGTGTTGCAAAGCAAGAACTGCCCAATTTTGGAGAATACAGACCAAAGGGCTGCATTCGGGGATCAAATTCACTTTCCATTTTCCGATCAGAATACGGCTGGTTTTGTCCAAAGATACCAAAAGCTGCAGCAACAAACAAACCAAATGAAGCACTGAGTGCCTCTGGGAGCACTGGTTCCTGCCCCAAAGCCAAGGCTTCGTTGTCTGACCCAAACAGCTTCCTAGTCAACTTTCAGACAAGGGGGCGCAGAGATCCACACCAAAGCCCCCTGTTTGGAGGCACCCAATGGGAAGAGGAAATGCGCTCACCTGCCCTTGCACGTCAAGTACTCATCAAGAGGCGTGTCCACCCGAAGCCAAAAACCATTTCCTCGCTGCAAAAGTTAAATTGGGTCCCCAAGGCTGGCAGTGCCCAGCTGGGGTTGGGCTCTGGGGACAGTCCCTAGGACAAAGAGCCTAGGCAGTCGCTTGGACTGGTCACCACACTCCCAGAACTGGCTGGGGGCTGAGGAACCACAGGCAGAGAGCTCCCGTTGGCTCACAGCAAAATCAGTCACTGAGACAGTCAATGTGCAGCAAGGAAAGGGTTTTTTCAAGAGGCCACCTGAGTCTGAGACGAGAACCCAAGCCTCAAATCCAGCTATCCAGAGGAAGAGAGTCAGGGATATTTAAAGACCAGAGGAGGGGCGCCTGGGTGGCTCAGTCGGGTGAGCATCCAACTCTTGATTTTGGCTCAGGTCATGATCTCACAGTTCGTGGGATCGAGCCCCATGTCAGGCTCTGTGGTGACAGCACAGAGCCTGCTTGGGATTCTCTCTCTCCCTCTGTCCCTCCCCTGTAAGCGTGCTCTCACTCAAAGCAAATAAACATTTAAAAATAATAAAGGCAAGTGGAAAAGTTCTGGGTAAAAGGTTGCTGTTGTGTTTATTAGTCCCATTAACCCTCTGGTTACCAGTTTCACATTCACACATCACTCTTCTGTTCAAACACCTAACAGCTTACTCAGCACCTTGGCTGGGTGCTTCCTATTTGTGAAAACTTTCACAGGACTCATCTGCCCACAGGCGCCTTTCATATGCCTCTCTCTGGACCTGATTCCATTGTGTTGTTCCACTTTGTTTATTTAGCCCGACTCATCCATCAAGTCCCAACTGGAGCTCCTCCCTCTTCGATAACCAGCCTGGACATCTAGCCTGCAGCAACCTGTCCTTCTGGAGGATTCCTACAACGCTTCGTATCTATAAGCTAATTCATGATAACTTTTAACTTAAGGAAGAAAGGAAGGAAGGAAAGAAGGGAAGAAGAAACATAGAAAAGAAAGACGATCTCACTGTGCCAACTGGTTTCTAAACTCCATAGAGCAGAACCGATGTTCTGTAATCTTTATCAACCATGGCTTTAAGAATGAGACTCACAAGAAGTTACAAAAAAACCCCCAAAAAACTACAAAGTGTCCTCTGTCCCTTCAGTTGCCTCCCATGGTGACATCTTATAAAGCAGCGATACAATATCAAAACTGGGAACGTGAATTGGTGCCGTGCTATCAACTAGACCACAGACCTTACTCAGTTTTTACCATCTTTTAAAGCCTGCGTTCATTCGTGAGTGTGCAGTTCTATGCAAGTTTTTGAACAGGTGAAGTTTAATATAAAGAATTATTGACTTGGGGCACCTGGGTGGCTCAGTCGGTTAAGCGTCTAACTTCAGCTCAGGTCATGATCGCGTAGCTGTGGGTTCGAGCCCCACATCAGGCTCTGTGCTGACAGCTCGGAGCCTGGAGCCTGCTTCCAATTCTGCGTCTCCCTGTGTCTCTCTGCCCCTTCCCCACTCACACACTCTCTCTCTCAAAATAAATAAACATTAAAAAAATTATATAAAAAAAGAATTATTGACTTTAACAGCAAATTGAAATAACAAGGGATTCACTGAGAAGGTGCCTTGGTATTTACTGGAAATCCCCTTTCTGTGGTGGAGCCTCATTCACAGGGAGGTGGCTGAGTGGAGGCACTCCTCTCCAAAACTGCCTGGGGGCTGGGGGCGCCAGGCGAAGCAGCTGAGCGCCTGACACCTCGGGAGTCACCTGCTGGGGTGGCCCCGCGCGCAATGCAGGTAACGAGAGCGAGAGCCGAGAGCCGGCAAAGCAAGCACACCCTCAGGGAACCAGCAAGCCGAAGCCTTTCCTCCCGTAATCCCTCTGGTGCCCTCTACTGACAAGTCATGTCACACACCTAGCAAAGGAAAACAAGTTCAAAGGCCCAGGTCAATTCTCGCAGAGCAACAAGCCGAACCGGAGCTGAGTCAATAAGTCGATAAGTGGGAACACCATGGAACTTGGGGCGTTACCGGCATCCAGTGAATCAGGCTGCTACAGCGTGCGGTGAGCTGAGCAGTCTCACACAGGAAAGAACCATCCCCGTAATGGTGCCAGTAGCACCCCTGTATCAGCCAGGGTCCCGGCAGGAGACAGTAGCACACTCAAACAAGGACGGATACTCTGAGAAGAGTCTCTTGACATGGTTGTGGACAGGTGTGGGGAAACCGGGGGAGAGCACAGATCCCTGGGGCTGCTTACCTCCCCCAGGTCTGGAGAGGCAGGAGGCTCGTGAGACCCAGGAGAGAAGCATGGTGGAAAGAGCTGCCTGACAGGATGACCGGGGCTGTGACCTTTCAGCACAGGGTGCAGCCGGCCAGAGGCCCTGAGATGGGGAATTAATACCCCAAACCCACGCTCTCCCCTCTGGCCTGCTGGTGCCACAACCCACTCCAGCCCCCATGTCGAGTGAGCCCAGATGGAAGCCAGGAGTTTGGAGAGCCATCGGACTCTCCACCGGGCACCGCTGAGGTCCGGCTTGATGGGGAGGGGGTCGAGGGCTGGGCGGGGATGGGGCTGGCTGTGTCCCGACGCTGCTCCTCCAGCCCCAACCTGAGCCCTGTGCCCAGTCAGCCCCCAGAACCTCATATTTGGACAGCACTTCCTCCAACAAGTTCCAACGAGGGCCGGGTTGGACACAGCAGGGAGGTCTGAGACGTCCAGGCCCTGGTAGCTGATGGCACAGCCACTGGCATGGCAGCCTCTACAGGCAACACCTGAAACTCCAAGACCTCAAGAGAGAAATGGCCACGTTCGTTTGACCATATCCACTCCTTGTCCCGAAACGTGGCAGCGCCCCCTGCGTCAGGACGAAATGGGCACCTTCCAAGTATGCTCCTTGATGCAGGTGAAGGGTCCAGTTTTCTGAGGCACCTTCAACACCTGCTGTCGGGACAGGCGTTCTCGCAGAGCCTCCACGTCACACAAGCGGTCAGCCAGGAACTGGAGCAGCGGCCTTTCCTTCTGATTGCCCTCCAGGGCCACCGCCCTGCTCAGGCCACAGATGCCCCCAGGACTCCCATGACAGACCAGGGCCGCCAGGTGCAGGGACTCTTAGAGCCCCCAAACTCTTCCTTCAGTCTCCCTCCAGTCTTCTCTTAGCCTGCTCCGATTCTGCCCTGGGCGCCGCCACCGCGCCGGGCTGAGGTCAGCTCTATGCAGTTTTATTCCACGTACAGATTCGTGTAGTCACCACCACGATCAAGACTCAGAACTGTGCCATCACTGAAGAACCTCTTTGTGCTACCTTTTTGTATCTGCACCTCCCCTCGCCACCCCCGTCCTCTGGCAACCACTGATCTGTTCCCCATCTCTATAGTTTTGTCACTTTAAGAACATTATATAAATGGGAGCGCCTGGGTGGCTCAGTCGGTTGAGTGTCCGACTTCAGCTCAGGTCATGATCTCATGGTCCGGTCCGTGAGTTCAAGCCCCACGATGGACTCTGTGCTGACAGCTTGGAGCCTGGAGCCTGCTTCGGATTCTGTGTCTCCCTCTCTCTCTGCCCCTCCCCTGCTCATGCTCTGTCTCTGTCTCAAAAATAAATAAAAACACTTAAAAAAAAAAAAAAAAGGAATGTTATATAAATGGAGTCACACAGTATATACCCCTTTGGGACCTTTTTCACTAGGCATAATATCCTTGAGGTTGTTAACCTGTATCAATAGTTGATGCCTGGTTATTGCTTAATGTTCACCGTACGGCTGTACCGAAGTTTAACAATTCACCTGCCGAAGGATGTGCGGGTTGTTTTTAATATTTTGCTACTGTGAATAATGCTGCTATGCCTATTTACTATTTAAATCATTTTTAAATGTACAGTTCCATGGCACTAAGCACATTCACCTGGTTGTGCCACCATCACCACCATCCATCACCATGACTCTCTTCATCTGGCAAAACTGAAGCTCTATATACACTCAACATTAACTTCCCATTCCCTCCTCCCTCCAGTCCCTGGTAGCCACCATTCCACTGTCTCTGTGAATTGACTAAGTATTTCATATGAGTGGAATCATACAATATCTGTCCTGTTGTTGTGTGTGTTTTTTGAAGTAGGCTTCATACCCAACCAGGGGCTTGAACTCACGACCCTGAGATCAAGACCTGACATCAAGAGTTGGATCTTGTTGGGGGGTGGGGAGGGGGGAGGGGCGCCTGGGTGCAAGTCGGTTGAGCATGTGACTCTTGATTTCCGCTTACGTCATGATCCGAGGGTCGTGGGATGGAGCCCCACGTCGGGCTCCGTGCTGAGTGTGGAGACTGCTTAAGATTCTTTTTCTTTTCTTTCTTTCCCTTTCTTTCCTTTCTCTTTTGTTTTCTTTCTTTCCTTCTTTTTCTTTCCTTCCTTCCCCTCTCTCTCTCTCTGCTCCTCTCCCCCACAAGCACTCTCTCTCTCTAAGAGAAAAACAAAGGTCGGACTCTTGGGGTATCTGGCTGGCTCCGTCGGTAAAGCATGTGACTCCTGATATCGGGGGTTGTAGGCCTGAGCCCCACATTGGGTGTAGAGATTACTTAAAAAAAAATCTGAAAACGAAGAGTCCAACACCTAAGTGACAGAGACTCCTAGGCATCCCAACACCTATCCTTTTGTAATTGGCTTATTTCACTTAGCATAATGTTCTCAAGTTTCATGCATGTTCTACCACGCGTCAGAATTTCTTTTCAAGGCTGAATAATACTCCATTGTATTTAGATACCACACTTTGTTTATCCATTCATCCATCCATGGATATGTGGGCTGCTTCCGTCTTCCGACTATTGTGAACAACGCTGCTGTGAACATGGGGGTACAAACATCTGCTCAAGTCTCTGCTTTCAGTTCTTTTGGGCACATACCCAGAAGTGGAACTGCTGAATCAAATGAGAAATCTATTTGCAATTGTTTGGGAACTGCCATACTGTTTTCCACATCTACATCTCCTGCTGACAAGGACAGCAGCTGGGGACTAGGCCAGACATCACCTGTCACCCAAACTGGCCAGAGCTCAAACATGAGACACTCTGGTGATGGATGAGTCAGGAGAACTGGAACAAGGGCTGGAAACCAGAAAACACGGCAGACATTGCCCAGTCCTTGCCCAGCTGTGTCCCTGGGCAAGTCACACTATCTTCCCTGACCTCCACCCTAAGCTGTACAATGCAGGCACTGTAGTAACGCAGTGAGTGGTTTCAAATCCCAGGAAGAAGACTGAACCCCCTGGAAGAAATGGGAATTCGGCCAGTGGATGGCCTTCAGACTTGAACCACAACAATGGCTCTTCCTGGGTCTCCCACCTACCTAACTACCCCACAGATTCTGGATTTGCCAGCCTCCGGAATTGCAGAGACAACTCCTTAAAACAAATCTCTCTGTTTATAAACACATGCTATTGGTTCTGTCTCTCTGCAGATGCCTAATACAGATTTTGGTTGAACAGAAACACAGATCTCTGAGCTATTTTAAGCATTTGAAAAGCTCAACTCCCACCCCCACCCCATATTCAGTGGCTCCTGATAAATTTACACAGGTTAACTAAAAACTGTTAGGTCCTGTTTTCTACCGCTGTTCATAGTTTTTACTTTGGCTTCAGCTATGTCACTAACTTGGCTACACTGTGGAGGCTTAGGTTAAAGGCACAGGCCTTGGAGAGTCAGACTTTGGGTACTGGCCTCTATTAGCTGTGTGCCTTTGAGCAAATTACTCCACCTCTCTGAGTACTTTTCCCCATCCATAAACTGAGGATGACAGCTACCTCAGGAACAGAAGTGCTATGATTTAACTGTCATTACATTTTAGAAAATTAAGCACAGAGCCATTAGCCCTGGTGCAGCGGGAGCTATAATTAGCAGCATAACGACGAAAAGGTGCTGTTTGAGGAAGGGAAAATGTGAGGTGCTGGCTCTATATCAGGAGATCAGTATCACCGCAAATGAACCTTCACTGGTCATTTCCAACGAATTTCCAGCTCTGACAGAGGTAGAGCTTGACCCGCCGCGGCCCCAGGCAGCAGGTGATCCCAGCCCCGCCCCTCGCCCCGCCCCCCATTAGCCCCGCCCCCCATTAGCCCCGCCCCCGGCCGGCGCCCACCTGGATCTCCTGACAGGCCGACGCCGCCCGCCGGCCCTCCGCCTGCTTCTCCTCGATGAGGCCCAGGCCCAGACCGAAGGCCAGAAACACGGCCCGGCCGCAAGGGCCCGCGCCACCCCGGGCCCGCACCGCGAACTGCCGCTGGAGCCGCGCCGCCAGCCCGACCACCGACTGGCGGAAGAAGCGGTAGCGGTCGGGCAGCCCGAGCCCGAGCCTGCGCGGCTCCGCGCCGGGTCCCGCGGTCTGACCCCGGCGTTCTCCGCGGCCCCATCCCGCCGCGGGGCCCGGCCGCTCGGGCCGTCCCCAGCCATAGGCCGGGCCAGGCTTGGCTGTGAAACGCAGCAGTAGCGCTCGACCCAGCTGTAGGCCCCGGCCCAGCGCCTGTCGCACCGCCATGGCGGCACCGCGGCCCGGTCCCCCAGCCGCAGGCCTCCGGGACGCCGCGCACCACAACAAACTTCAGGGACGGCGCCTCTACGCAGGCGCAGGCGCCGAGGGGCGGGGCGGGGCGGGGCGGGGCCGCCGCTCTAGCGGTTCCCCGGCTGGGCGCGAGAGGGCGCCGTGTGCGCACCTGCGCGACGGGTAGTTTCTCGCTCATGCACTTTGAACCCGGCGTGGAGGGATTAAGCGTTAGGGAAATTCTGAGTGTGAACATCGCTGGTCCTGGGCCAAATCGAGAAACTGATAAAGGAAACTAATATTTATTGACTATCACCCGCTGCGCCAGACTCTTTACGTCTGTTAATTTATTTAATTTTCGCACAATGATAGGAATGTCATTTTTACAGATAAGGAAACAGGCATTGAAAGGGCAGTGACTGGGACACCTGGGTGGCTCAGTCGTTGAGTGTCCGACGTCAGCTTAGGTCATGATCTCACAGTTTGTGAGGTGGAGCTGGCGTCAGGCTCTGTGCTGGGCGCCTGGAGCCTGCTTCGGATACTGTGCCTCCCTCTCTCTCTCTTCCTCCTCCACTCGTGTTCTGCCTCTCTCTCTCTCTCAAAAGTAAATAAAACATTAAAAAAAAATAAGAAGAAAGGGCAGTGACTGAGGTCCCATTCGTTGTCAGAGCTTAAAGTTCATGTTGCCCTGATTCTTGGGTCCTTGCCCACCCCACCACTCATGCCCTTAGGCTCCTCTCTACAAGCCCACAGTCCTGGTAGCTTCCTAGGACTCTCCAAGAGAATTCCCACCCAAAGGCTACATTTTTCAGATGAGTAAACTGAGGCCCCAAGACATGGAACAACTTGCCCAAAGTCACAGTGGCAGAGTCCTGTTCCCCAAACCCACTGTTAGGAATGGCTGATAAAGGGATTTGTTCTGAGTGACTTTTTTTCTTTCCTTTTCTTGGCTTTTTTTAATGGGAAATTTCAAGCATACACAAAAAATAGAATAATATGGTGAACCCCATATCACCAATTACCAACAAATAGCCATTTTTAAAATCCATTACACCTTCCTACTAACCCTCCTGCCCATTACTTGAAAGTAAATCCCAAATGTTACATTATTTCACTTATAAATACTTTAGTATCTGTCTCTAAGAGATAAGAATTCTTTTTAGGGGTGCCTAGGTGGCCCAGACGGTTGAGCGTCCGACTTCGGCTCAGGTTGTGATCTCACAGCTCGTGATTTTGAGCCCCAAGTCGGGCTCTGTGCTGACAGCTCAGAGCCTGGAGCCTGCTTTGGCTTCTGTCTCTGTCTCTCTCTGCCCCTCCCCTGCTCATGCTCTCTCTCAAAAATAAACATTAAAAAAAAAAAAAGAGGTCCTGGAAGGTATGTAAAATGTTTGGGGGACTGTGGCCATGTATCTCTGTGTGAGGGGGTGAGCTTCCAGGCAGAGACATTTGTCTAGCTTGAGATTCACCTTAACATTGCCCGAGTAAATAGGCACAGCCTAATCCATTTATTTCAGGGCTCCCTTGGGTCCTTCGGGACAGCCCTGGTTCCACGCTGTGGAGTAAGTAGGAATAGCAGGCTAGCGTGTAAAAATAAGGCAACTGCAAAATGCTTCATTTTGAAGCATTTTGAATTGGTGAATTTAAACATGTTGAAACTAATACATACATTGAATGGAGACCCAGTACTTTCACTCCTGGGTATAGACCCACAGGAATGCATATGTATTTCCCCAAGAATGTTTGTAGTGGCGCTATTCCATGACGATGGAAACAACTCAAATGGCCATCTATAGTAAGTGGGCTGGATCAGTTGTATATTCACCCAATGGACTACTAAACAGCCATAAAAGTATGTACAGCTAAATGCAAACCGCAGGGATGTATTTTATAAATATACTGATCAGTAAGGAAAGCGAACATAAAAAGGAGTAAATATTTTGTAATTCCATCTGCACAAAGTTCAAGGGCAGATGAAACTAATCTATAGTGTTAGAGGTCAGGATGGCAGTTGTCCTTGGGAGGTTGTTACCAGAAGCAGATTCAAGAAGGATTTGGGGGGCTAGTGACATCTTCTTGCTCTGGGTATGTTCATTCGATGAAAATTCATCAAGGGGCAGCTGGGTGGCTCAGCAGGTTAAGCGTCCGACTTCGGCTCAGGTCATGATCTTGCAGTTTGTGAGTTGGAGCCCCGCGTCAGGCTCTGTGCTGATAGGTCAGAGCCTGGAGCCTGCTTCAGATTCTGTGTTTCCCTCTCTCTCTGCCCCTCTTCCACTCATACTCTGTCTCTCTCTCTCTCTCAAAAATAAATAAAACATTAAAAAAATTAAAAAAAAATTCATCAAGATGTACACTTTGGTTTGTGCAATTTTCTGGGTGTAATAGTTCAATAAATGTTTTACATAATCTTCTTGACATAATGAAAACTTTTTTGAAAAGTTTGGTCTAACTCATTCATGGTCTCAAAGTTTTAAGAAAATGAACTTATTTTGAATAGTGCATTAAAGTTCACAAAGTTTACTCAACTGTCTTTGAACTTAGTGGTTTCAAACAACACTTCTATTTTAATAATGAACTTTGTTGTATCATAAACCTAGAGTTGAACTTTGCTCTGCCATAGTAGCTCATCTGAGTCAGCCTATTTCTGAAATAGAGGATAGGACTTACCATTGTTTAGGGCCAGCCAACATTAAAGAGCTGCTGTTTTGTTTTTTTTTTTCAAATGAGATTTTATTTTATTTATTTATTTACTTACCTATCTACCTATTTATTTATAATCTGTTTAAAAAATTTTATTCGGGGGTGCCTGTTTAAAAAATTTTATTCAGTCGGTTGAGCGTCTGACTTCAGCTCAGGTCATGATCTCACTGTTCATAGTTCTATACTGACAGCTCACAGCTCGGAGCCTGGAGCCTGCTTCAGATTCTTTCTCCATCTCTCTGCCCCTGCCCCGCTCACACTCTCTCTCTTGCAAATATAAACAAACATGAAAAAAATTTTTTTAAAAATAAAATGCTTATTCATTTTTGAGACAGAGAGAGAGAGAGAGAGACTGAGAGAGGGGAACAGAGGATCTAAAGCGGGCTCTGTGCTGACAGCAGAGAGCCCGATGCGGGGCTCAAACTCACAAACCATGAGATCATGACCTGAACTGAAGTCTGACACTTAATCGACTGAGCCACTCAGGTGCCCCCAAATTTTATTTTTAGGTACTCTCTATACCCAACATGGGGCTTGAACTCACAACCCTGAGATCGAAAGTCTCATGCTCTATCACCTGAGCTAGCCAGGCACCCCGGGAGCATCTTCACTTTGATTCTCCTGATGATGGTAGGGTGGGAAAGGCAGGATACCAAGAGAAAGCAAGCAAAAGATTTCACATCCCTTTGTTCCACCTTAAATATGAAGTCAAGGGATGTGTAGATGCTAGAGGGAGTCTTCAACCTGAAGAGTTCTGGCCACCAGGCTTGCTTGGCCATGGGGTGGGCCCGTGGCTAGGAACAGGTAGTCACCTGTTTCAGCAGTGTGTGTGTGTGTGTGTGTGTGTGTGTGTGTGTGCGCGCGCACGTGTGTGCGTTCTGATCTCTTTTATTGGGAGAAATTGCAGGATGCTGGCGATATCCCATCATATTTATTCGGGAGACACATACATTGATAAATAGATGAGTTTCTTGCCAATTTATTTATAGGTGCACATAGAAATCAGATAGTGTCTTAAATTTTTTTGACGGATCTCAGATAATTTTAAAGTACAATTTTTTTTATTTTTTAATTTTTTCAATGTTTGTTTATTTTTGAGAAAGAGATAGAGTACGAGTTGGGGAGGGGCAGAGAGAGAGAAGGAGACACAGAATCTGAAGCAGGCTCCAGGCTCCGAGCTGTCAGCGCAGAGCCTGTTGTGGGGCTTGAACCCACTAACCATGAGATCATGACTTGAGCCAAAGTCAGATGTTTAATTGACTAAGCTACCCAGGCACCCATAAATTATAATTTTAAATGCTCCATTGAAGTTGTCCTTTGGAGAAAGCTAAGGAAGAGAAGGTTGGAGAAATTTCACACTCCAGTAATCTCAGGCTCATCCACGGAAGCTTAGGTGGGGCAAAGGTCTCATTTAAAGTTCAAATCTAGGAGCACCTGGGTGGGTCAGTCAGTTAAGCATCAGACTTCAGCTCAGGTCATGATCTCACAGTCTGAGAGTTCAAGCCCTGCATCAGACTCTCCACTGACAGTGCAGAGCATGCTTAGGATCCTCTCTCTCCCTCTCTCTCTGCCCCTCCCCTGCTTGCTCTCTCTCAAAAATAAATAAACATTAAAAAAAAAAAAAGTTCAATTCTCAGTTGGTTAAGCATGTGACTCTTGATTTCGGCTCAGGTCATGATCTCATGGTTCAATAGTTTAAGCCCTGCACCAAGCCTGCTTGGGATTCTCTCTCTCCTGTCTCTCTCTGCCACTCCCAGCTTGTACTCTCTCTCTTTCAAAATGAATAAATAAACTTACAAAAATAAATATTAAATCTAGGAGTGCCTGGGTGGCTCAGTCATTTAAGCCTCTGACTATTGATTTTGGCTGGGGTCATGATCTGTCAGTTCATGAGATCAAGCCCCCACATTGGGCTCTGCTTGGGATTCTCTCTCCCTCTCTCTACCTCTCCCTCCCCAACCCATTTCAAAAATAAATAAACATTAACAAAATAAATTTCAAATCTAGCCATCTGCTGTGTGTCATTATCATGACAGCACTTCTCTGTAATGTTTACGGAGAAGGGATAAGAGGTTCTCTGAGAGATTTAACGTTTTAACCACAAGGGTTTTCTTTACTCTCCTAAGAATGTAACCTTTTACCATAAGGTTTGTGATGATTACACAGCTTGTAAGATGTATTCACTACGAGCCATTGTATTGATGTTTTTGAGTTAAAGAGGGCATTTGTTATCAGCCTTTGGTTTTGTTCCCCTACGCTGCAAATAACCTCACCAACCCTCATGCTTAACCCACCCACCTGCAGACACAAAATCTCCAGGATCATGTTAATTAACCCTCCACTGTAGGCTGTACAGTTTCATGTTCAACAGAAAA